AGAATTAGCTTTAGCGTCTCATATTATATATACAGCTTACAAATGTTTAATAAAGCATATGTAACTAGCCTGACAGAGGGCAAAAAAAAAAAAAATAATAATAATAATATAGTGATGGTACTTTTCAATTGTAATTACAAGATCTGTAGTTCAATATCACTTAAGGACCAAAAATTAAAAATTATTTTCTAATTAGGTTTACTGATTATTCTATGAAAGTTATATTCAATTATCTAGAATAAGATTAAATTAGGTTAAGTTATACAAAGATAGAACTTCTGATTTTCTATTAATTAGGAGCTAAAATTTATAATTATATTATTAGAAGGATTGTATAAAAAAAGATTTCTGATCTAATTTCTTATAAATATTTTAAGATGCTTCTTTCTTAGTAATTTTTGGAATACATTCTTTTAACTTAGAATATTTTAATCTGATATTCCACTTAATTGAAAATTAGTTAATAGAAATTAATTTGATATTATGAATAGTAATAAAAAAGGCAATATATCTTCTGAGTAAATAATATTTAAGAATATTAGAGGATATAACATATCTTGTTAGGTATATATAGAAGAGAATTAGTTTAATAAAACATAAATCTTGTAAGCTCAATACTAACTAGACTAGTCTCATCATTGATAACTTTCTATTAACTATCTGGTCTCTAGTTAGGTCTATCCATTTAAGGAATAATAGTAGATCTATCTAAAATAAATCATAAAAAAAGACTTTAAAAATTATTTTTTCAATTATTTTAAAAAAATAAATAAAACTTTATTAGTATAAAAATATAAAGTTTTTTGTAAATATCTTTTTTATATATTATCAAGAGATTAATTAATTAATAGATTATGTTTTAATTAAAATAAAAAATCAAAAAAATTTTTTAACTTAAAATCTTAAAATTTTATTAATACAATCTTATATATTTAATCAAAATAAATCTTATTGATTTAAATATGAAAATATTTAAAAACTTTTAATAATTTTCTAATTATATATAAAAAAAAACTTGTCAAAAAGATTTTGATATTTTAATTAATATAAAATATTTTACTTTTAAAATTATGATTATATTTTTTTCTTAATTATAAAATTTTTTAATCAAAAACTTAATTTTCAATAATTAAAAAAAGTTAAATAGTATCTTTACTATCAATAATTAAAAAGTTTTTTTTTTTAAAAAAAAATTAATTGTAAAGTATTTAATAAATTTTTTATCTTTAATATAAATATTAATAAAGATTTTTTATAAATAAAAAACTTATTTTCACTTATATTAACTATTTTTATTTTTATAGTTTTTCAAGAAATTTTATTTATTTTGATTAATTTTAAATTTTTGTATAATATTATTCTTATAAAAATAATATATTTAATAGTATTATTATAATGGAAAAATTTTATAAGAAAGATTTTTTTTTAATTGAACAATATTAAAAAATAAATGAAAATTTATATAATATATTAACTTTTATTTTTTATAAAGTTTTTTGTTAATTAAAAAATTTTTTTGTTTTAATTTTAATTAAACAAGTTTTTGAAAAGATTTTTTATTTTAATTAAATAAATTTTTTCATAATATAATATTAATTTTGAAGATATGATAATTAAATCTATATATTAATGAAAGAACATGTTTCTCAAATATTTTGAAAAAGTTCAAACAATAATAAATAAGTTTCTTGAATAATTTAAAGTAAAAAAATATCCCAATTAAATAGATCACTTTGAAAAAAGTTATTAATTAAGAATATTTAAAAAATTTTTAAATTGTTTTATTATTATTTTTTTTTATTTCTTTTTTCTGATACCTTGATTTAATAATTTATTAATCTATATTAACAAATTTTTGATAATAATTTTAATAAATAAAGATTATCAATATCAATCCATTATTTTTAAAATTTGATTTAAAGTATCTAATTGAAACTTTGTTTTGTTTGACTGGAACGAACTTAATAAACTTCTCATATTTTTAAAGTAAAAGAATTCTTCATTAATAATATACAATGTTAAGTTAGCTATCACTCGAATAGCCTATTTAATATTATAGATGCTTATTTAAAGTTTCAATAAAGACATATGATGACATAATTGCAAATTAAGAATAAATAAATAAATGTATAGTGTAAACAGTAAATACTTAATCAAATTTTTACATTTAAGCTTAAATAAGATAAACCGGTAATATTTTAAAAATAAATGCACTAGATTATTGAGTTTATAGTATATTTTATATATATTTTTTTTAAAAAAAAAAAACTGCTGCGTATACTGTATTAATGAAAGGTATTACTGTATATTGACGAAAGTCAGTACAGTATTTAGGTTATTTCCATTTATTTTATTATTTTAGTAAATATCTTTCCACGAACTTTTTTAATACAGTCGGTTTATATTTTATGTTATCATTTGGCAAATAAAAAAAAATTTTATTTTTGAACAAAATTACGCCAAAGCCGAGGAATCGGGAGTTCACGGTATTGTTCTAATGAGACTTGCACAAAGTTCCAATGTGTGTAACCGCCGGAATTATGAATGTAATACGGGTTCTTTCCGAGCATTGCTCGAACTTTTGATTCTCTCCGGAGATCATGCACATGTGGAAGTAATAATCATACCTAGTATTGATGTTCACAATCCGTCCGCAACAAACATTACATTTACTGCATTGCTGTATCGAGATCAAGATTATAAAACAAGGTTACATTTCCCTGCTTATCTAACCAATGCAGCACACCAGACGAGGCGCCAAATTCTTTGGTGAAAACTTGCGAGTTTCCGATCTTATATAAGTTCAATTATGATGCGTGTCACGACATATGTACGTACGTATTGCGTACGTAATCTAAATATTTATTGATTAGAATTAATCTCTTGCTGAGCACGTTTCTTTTTTTTCGGCAGACATGAGTTTGCTTATATCATTATCCGAGAAGTCTTCAAATTCATTCTCATGCCTACCATTTCCCTCAAGCTTTGGTCTTTTCGGCCAATGTACTGGGGTCTTTTTCATTCCGATAATCCTTTTGTCTTACATCGTAGCATTTGGCCTATACAGAGTAGTTCGAAAACCAAGCGGATATACTTCGGTAGGAGAAACTCGCCGGCGAGCCACACCTTTGGTTAAAGCCATTTATGGATTCAGCGGATTTGTATTTCTATCCTACCTCGCCGATTGTGCAGTGATTGTTATCAGAGCTTTGGAATCAAAAACTTGGACTTCATCTACGCTCGTCTTTTATGATGTCGTCTCATGGGTTGCTTGGCTAATCAATATAATTCTGATGGTAGTGGAACGAAAAAATAGCGGTACATGGTCATTGGTCAACTATATTTTCTATTGGATTTCATTATCAGGGGAAGCTTTTGTTTTTCTTAATTGGGTTGTATTGGTGAGAGATGAAAAAAAAGGTAATCTAAATTTGCGTTGGACTCTGGAATCTTTGATTCGGTTGACATGATTTCCCCGATTAAGCGAGCTTTTGCATTTGAAATATGAAATAAAAGCAGGGTCATTTGTCTCGAATTATGACTTAGCGCTGCTCAGCATCATAGCTGCCCGTTTCGTTGCTTTGTTGATAGCATCCATAGCGTCATTGATACAAGCTTTACATTCATACTTTGATGACAACACCGGATCTGAACAAGGGCTTCTCGAGAATTCTTCATCTTATGGCACATTCCCACCTAATGAAAATAACAATCGACCAAGTGAAACCACTCGAACAGAAAAAGGTGCATTTGCAGACTTTTTTGAAAAAATGCGAAAGCTTCTTCCATTTCTTTGGCCAAAAAATAAGCCGTGGCTTCAATTTTTGATATTTTTCTGCTTCGGTCTATTGATCGCTGGGCGTGTTGTAAACGTGCTCGTCCCTATGCAGATCAAAGTTGTTACTGACAGCTTGACCGGCGAAGATGGAAATCCGCGTAAGAAAGTTTTAACCATTTCCTTTCTGATTTTACACATTCAGCAGACCTCCATTCCTAATTTGAAATTCTTCACTATTATCTTCTTAGCATCCTTTCCTTGGATGGGCATTTTAATATATGCCTTCTTGAAGTTTCTTCAAAGTGGCGTCGGGCTAATTCAAGCGTTTCAAAACTACTTATGGATTCCTATCGGACAGGTATCATAAACGTCACCAAAACCTTTTAGTAATGTTATTGCGTGCTGACAAGAATCTATGGAAAAATTATAGTACACAACGAGAGAAATTTCCGTAAAGATGTTTGATCACTTGCATGGGTAAATTATTGACTCTTGGTAAAATTCAGTTGTTGGAAGTAATTGTAGCTCAATAATGTCATTCTTAGGCTTTCCTTGTCGTATCACATCAATCGAAAGACTGGGGAGGTTCTGCGCGTCATGGACCGTGGAACCAACAGTATCATTAATTTACTCAACCAAATACTGTTTCAGATTGTTCCCGTGATTGTGGACATCTTGGTCGCTGTTATTTATTTCGTGGTCACGTTTGGTTGGGAATTTGGAATCATTGTATTTATCACCATGTCTAGTTACATCTTTGTAACAGTTGCGATCACCGAATGGAGAACAAAATTCAGACGAGAGATGATTGAACGAGACAATGACACCAGAGCCAAAGCTGGTACGCCATTTGTATTCAAACTCTGTTTTCTCATTCAATCATTCGTTTATTTAATCGCTTGTAAATTATAGTTGACTCACTGTTAAACTTTGAAACCGTCAAATATTATAATGCCGAGCAATTTGAAGTGAGACGTTACGACGAATCGATCAAAGCATATCAAGTGTCCGAATATAAAGTGAACTCCTCTCTCAACCTACTTAATCTTAGTCAAAATCTTGTGATCACCGTTGGTTTGCTTTCCGGTTGTTTGATGTGTGCATATGAAGTTACCGAAGGTGTTTTTACCGTTGGCGATTTCGTTCTCTTTGTGACTTACATCAATCAACTGTACAGTCCGGTAAGTGCATTTATGATTTCGATTCTTCCCGCGTGATCTTTGACCATTTTCATGACCATAATTCACTGCGATCACGCAGCTCAACTTTTTCGGGACATATTATAGAATGATTCAACAGAATTTCATTGACATGGAGAAAATGTTGGACTTGTTCAAAGAACAGCAAAGTGTTCAAGATGTTCCTGGAGCTCCTGAATTGACAGTAAGCGAGGGATCCGTGGTATTTGGTAGTCGTCTGTTTTATCTTTCGGTGTCTATTTTACTTGACCAGAGACCTGACATCAACATTCTACATTCACAGAGAATGTCGGATTTTCTTATGACCCAAGAAGTACTGCTTTGCAAGGCATCTCATTCACAATACCCAAAGGCAAAACGGTCGCTCTCGTTGGACCTAGCGGAGGAGGGTATGTTATTTCGATGTTTTTTTTCGAACGTTCACAAAAGCTTTAAATCCCGAGTCAACTTACAACCGATGAATATAGAAAATCGACCATTCTCCGACTACTTTTCCGATTTTATGATGTTGGTTCGGGTCGTATACTAATCGATGGGCAAGACATTCGACTTGTCAAACAAGAAAGTTTGAGGAAAAACATTGGTGTCGTCCCTCAAGATACCGTCCTATTTAATGACACGATCTATTACAACATCCATTATGGAAATGTGAAAGCAACCGAAGAAGACGTATACAAATCAGCAAAAGCTGCCCAGATCCATGATCGCGTGAATTCCTTCCCTGATGGCAAGTTTATTCATTAATTTTGAATGACGAGATGACATATATACATTAGACAACGTTCACGCGATTATTAAGATAATTGTTGAAGCGAGAGCCCTTGATGGTTAAGCTTTCTAGTAATATAACGAGTTATTAAGTCGCATCTTTTATTGTTACTAAAAGGTTACAAGACGCTTGTAGGAGAACGTGGTTTACGATTAAGTGGTGGAGAAAAACAAAGGGTGGCAATTGCAAGGACCATATTGAAGGTAATATTAACTATCGCATTACAAATCCTTGTTTTATGATTTAATAAAATATTATCTTAATATTTGAATCAAGAATCCCCCGGTAGGTTCTTTATATCACTTTTTTTTTTTTTTCGTTTCACAAGTTAGTTGGACTTGAAAACCAATTGAATTAATGCATTCGATTACTTTAGATTATTCTGCTCGATGAAGCTACGTCCGCGCTTGATACTACGACCGAGAGACAAATCCAGCATGCTCTATCTCGCATGACTCGCGATCGTACGACGTTGGTTATTGCGCATCGATTGAGTACAATCGTTAACGCTGACCTGATTCTTTGGTTAGTGAAGGATTGATGGTTCGTCTATTCGCAAGCGATTTAACTTATAACACCTTTTTACATTATTACATTAGTATAAAAGACGGTCAGGTAGTTGAACAGGTATGACGCCAAATCGGTATTATAATTCGTTGTATCGCCGTACGCATTTATACCACCACTCGCTTTAACTATCTTAATTCCGTAGGGGACACATGACGAACTTATTCAACAAGCCATTAATCGGGGTGGCGAAGGTAACCGACCTGTTGTTCATGCACACGAAATCTTTACTCATGTCATGGATTTAACGATGTTATATTTATTTCTTCTAGGCGTTTATTATGAAATGTGGCAGAAACAACTACGGGACGAAAGCGAAGGAAAGAATGTGGGCGAAGATTCAAGTGGTGAATCTAAAGGGGATGGGGATGGAAGCAAGTCTAGTGAAACACAACCTCCCCCACCCCACCCACATCATCCACATCATTGAATCTAGGTGGTATGAAATAATGGCCAATTTAGATAAAACTGCATCTGTACATCTTTAAAATTTAGAGATCAAATACCGCGTATGGAGAAATATTTATTAAATGTCGAGGTAACATACCGATAGGTGTGTTCATACTTAAATTCATCACCGAAAAAACTCAATGTATCTGGCTTTCTTCTATGGAAATACGAAAAGTACTTCACCTTGTTTGCTTTCCGGTTTCGAAACGTTTAAACAGTATACGGTGTTGTTTCTGACAAGTAATCTAGCACCTCTGCATAGAGTCAAGATAAACTGATTTATAATGCATCGCCACAAAAATTTATTTGATTTGATAAAAAGCACTCACTGTTGTTATTGTTGTTATCATATTAGTAATATCGTCTGTTGATATAATGACATACAGTTAAACCCGCCCAACTCGGTGTTACATATATATACACGCAAAAATCATATTTGAAATGTTTTGGCTTGCTTTATTCTTGTGCTTTATAATAATTTATTATTCCTTTATTATAAATCCATTGATTTACTGTATATTCAAAGATTTTCTTAGGTTTTCTCAATATCAGTTGATATTCTTGTAAAATGGTATTTATTGATCATGATTTCTAATGCAGCTTTACAAGATGATAAATATGGATTTTTTTGACTAATGTGTCTATAATTTTATTGCATATACGTTTGCACTTAAATTTCGGAGATTTTTGGTTCCTAATTAATGCTTTTGTCTGTCTGTTTTTTTTTTTTTTTTTTTTTTTAGCAAAATCAATTTACTTGAAAAAAAAATTTTTTTAATAATAATGAAAGAATTTCAACAAGAATTGATTTAAAAAAAAAAAGAAAAAAAAATTATTAACATAACCCTTCTATTTCAACCATCAAGCACATGTGATCCGAACCAAATTTATGGTTCGGCGGATGGGTTTCGACCTCCTCTTTCGTTGGCATCCTTAATATCTTCGATACTCTTATCTCTCGATTTCCGATTTTCCCGAGAATATTTGACGAATCATCTCTATCGACCAAAGATCCGTTGAAGTATTCTTTGTTTGCTTGCTCGCGGTTTTCTTCGTTTTCGATTTCACCACCTTCATCGTGGATATAAAAAATGTAATCCACCGTTCCCTCAAAATATTTTCCGTAGATCGTGAACTTTGGTTCCATTTGGAAGGTGTTGTCGGGATCTTTCAGAGGGTAATATTTCGAGTAGAGTGACGTGCAGAGCGGAAGGTTTGAAAATCTCGAGAATAGGTCGGGAAGCGTTGGTCTACATCGTGGCAAATCCTCTATGGACGATGTTGGAATGTTTGATGACTGAGCCGCCGTAGAGGTTAATGTTGATGCGCCGAAAGGGTCGCCATCTTCCGGCAACGCAGTACATTTTCCACCGCATGCATCTTTATCTGCAGAATTTGGGGAAGACACATCTTCGATCAAATCTTTTTCATCATTAATAGGTCTCATCGAGTCTCTCAACTCTGAAATTTCCTTTTCAGTGAACAAAGGTTCTTTCTGTGCCATCAATCTGTACGTCGGACTATCCGGAGACGAGTTGAAATCTAAAAAATTTTGTAAGGGCAATTTAGTTGCGAGATTAAGTAAGATGCAACAGTAAGATGCAATGAGTGTTCACCTCCGGTCAAAAACACCGCAAATCCAAATTCCTTGTTAAACTTTATCAGGCTTTCACAAAACAACAAGCCTTGCCTCGCTCGTTCATACATGCAACAAGGCCTCCAATAGAGATGCGTCGTCCCAATAACAATTCCCGATCTTGACCCACCTTCACCAACAGCAAGGTTCTGGTGAGGCGCTTTATTGCATTCCAGTGAGACAATAAGTCCCATGCAATTTGTTGGCATAGTCGATTCCTCTAACTTATCAAATTCTACAATGTGATCTTTTAACTTGGTAAACTTTGAACATTTCCAAATTATGCAACACCCTGAAAAATCATGCGTGCGTGCAATGGAAGGGGGGGGGGGGTTTCGGGAAACGAGTTATATTGGAGAATCAACGTTATCAAATTTAATTGATGAGGAGAAAGAACACACCGTTTGTCTTTTTATCGCTCTTGAAATAAAAAATTTCGTACCCGGCATGTTCAAACTCTGACTTAAAGGTGTTGTTGAAACTAACGTCATCCATCTCTTGAAAACATGCTATATCAGGCTCGTAATGTAATATTTCTTTGATCAATTGAGGCCTACGGTATTTCCATTTAAGCGATTCGCCGCTGTCTGGATATAGCTCACGTTTGCAGAGCGATTGCGCGAGAATCTGTTGTTAGCGGAAGCGACCGTGAAGAATAAAAAAGGAATTTTCTTTAGCAAATGAAATGATTTCCAATCGTCACACAACGAAAGAGTTTGCACACATTATAAGTCATAATGGTTATACTCTCTCGGTCCCCCGACTCCACGCTTAAAGGAATCATTTGTCTTAAAAAGGGATCCGCCTTCACTTCTTGTACTTGCACTTTTTGAGAAGACTTTTTTTTTTCCCTATCCCGTTGTATCTGTTTTATCCTTTCCTTTTCCTCCCTAGAGATACCTCGACTACCATTCATATTAAAGGTTGAATCTAGAGACTGGACGTGTTCGCTTTGGATACTTTCGATTGCCGAATTTCCCGGTGAACGCTGGAAAGTTGTCGATTCCATCTCAACTTACAATGAAAATCAAGTACGTACTGTACGCATATTCGAATGAAAATCATTTTACCGGATTAATATAAGCAACGAATCGCAAGGGGACCCCTGAAAATTTGTTGCCATCAACAATACGATTGAGAGCGAATTTAGATATGACGGACAAAATTGAAGAATGCGCACGCAATTTAATTATTAAAGGCACCTGCTCTAATGTAGCGAAAATGCGTTTGGGGATTGATTGATTTTTTTTTTTTTTTCAACGCACGTAAGGTGATGATCACAAGAATCGAACGACTTTATTACTCCGAAAATTCACATGATGTACCCAAATACGTGCACATTATTTACTGGCATTGTGACGGGGCTAAAAAGCGGACGGTTCGGGTCTGCCGAAATAGAGATTCGAAGAGGCACATGGACATATTTAAAGGATGCGTGGTGTGGCGTGATAAAAAAAATGATGTACTGGTTACTGTAAATATTTGATATTAACAAAATATGGTAATGTATTCACATACAGTATACCACACCACTTCTTAACGTGGTAAGATGGTTTAATTGATTAATCCTCAACATTCATCATTTTCAATCAAAATATATTCCGTATACTGTATGTGATTACGTACATCATTCAATTGCCGCGTTTCATTTATCATAATCGTCGATTAATAATGTAAACACGGTACGTACAGTATTTATTGATTTCAACGTTAACCGCTTTATTATAATTTGCGGGCTTGAAAATACTGTAACTTTATGTTAATTCATCAATAACGATGATTTTATGTCATGCGGTGTTAGTGTAAGTTTCTCGATTCAATTCAACCAACAATTGGTAAAACGAAAGTAATCTTAAATTCAACAGACAAATAGTCAATTGGCATAACCGTTCCGCTGGATATTGTTACGTGCACGAAATTAGTAGCATTGAGGATTCGAATGCATTCTTAAGTTCAATTTACGTGTACAGTATGCGATTCTAATGTATTTAATTCATTCCACGATGAGTTAAACAGGTGGAAGCGTGACCCTGTGTCCAATCGGAAAGGCACCTTTGGTACACAGTATATTGGATGCAATTGCGTCAATAGAAAAATTCAAATGGTAGGTAGCTTGGGTCTTCAAGAAAGATACTCACAACCAACAGAATTGATAACCACAGGAGCAAGTTATGTGCTCGCAACCACCATCTTTGACTATGTTGACTTTACATTTGGGGCAGGGCTTAGCATTGCGTTGAATATAATTTCTAGTGGCCAATTCTTCTACTTTGAGTGTTTCGTCATATTCGGAACAAGTTTTGCCTTCGTGCCAGCGAACTTCATGCACGAAGCAGGTCTTTTTCTTGCACCCATGACAGGTCATGGTCGGCATTTTTCCTTTGGAAATCAAAGTGTGAAATTAAATGAATCCATGAAAACATTGGTTTAGATTGAGAAGCTACTTATGTACCGCCCCCTGCGTGGATTTGACCGAATCCACAGTTGTGCTTACACCAGCGAAAGCCCGGAAATTTGTTAATCTCGCTGAGAAATGTCCTCTTGTCGTAGCTGCAACGGTGCAAAGAAGAAAAAGTTATTACATTACAGGCACCTCATTTTGCACACTCGTTTATTGAGTAAGGTGAAAATCAAAGTAAAATAAGTTATCAACTTTTTAAAGTTTTCTTCGCTCGCCACTCTCTTCACATCGCCATATGTGAGATCCTTGAGACATAAGGGAACGAGACACCTAATGGTGATCCCTTTATCATTCTTCAAAACGTCGGTAATATGCTTGTCAATGCATTCTTTGCAAATGGTACTTTTGTGAGTGCACCTTGAGGTCATCTTTGGATATTGATTCTTGAATGCGTCACATTTCGTGCAATTTTTTTGTCCAAAATGATGAAAATAATTCATTTACGTATTTTTCGATCGAAAAGATTCCAGTAAAAAAAAAAAAAAATAAAGAAATAAAAAAAAATAAAAAAGATCGAAGGTGCCATATGTGGGATAAGCAAACCGGTAAAATGCGCGGCCCTCTAATTTTTTGACTTTTTGAAAATTGCCTATGAAACAGCGGTCGGTCCTAAGAGATTAAAGAAAAGCACTGCGCTCATCCGCATGACCTTAAGAAAAAGTCTGCTTTATTAAGTAATGAATCAACTTCGCCGTGACCTTAAAAAGCTTGTTTAATTTTTTTAAAGCCACCCACGGTATTCAAGTTCCCTTTAATAGGAAAAGGGGTTTTCCCAAAATTATACTCTCATCGAGAGACGCCCTGCACCGCAAAGTTTCGTGCCAAAACTGTTCCCACCTCGCTTATACGTACACAAAAATGAAAATCACGCTCGATTTATTTGAAATCAAAATTGAGTTGGATGTTAAACCTCATCAGACTGTCACCGAACTCAAAGGGCTCATCCTCTCAAAATTACAAATTGTGCCTTCGCAACAAGAACTTTTCCTCGGCGGAACACGCCTTTTCGGAGATCACAGGCTCTCGGATTACCAAATCGAAGAAGGCAGCATCGTCCGACTTGTGCTTAGAGTCGATCCGACATCAGAATTTCAGATCTTCGTCAATGACCTGAACGGAAGTTCCCAGTCTTTTTTGGTCTCTCTTGATGATAGCGTTTTGAAATTGAAAAAAAAAATCAGTGAAGAGCGTCATATCGAAGCCGGGAATATACGCCTCATACATTGTGGCAAAGAACTCGAAAATGACAGAAAGCTGGAAGACTACAAAATTCGTGAGGGTCAGACCGTTCATCTCGTGTATCGTCTGCGTGGCGGTGAATAATGGTTTTTGCTGGGATTTTTATTTTACACCTGGAGAATGGAGAAACCGATCGAAAGATTCTTTGCGCAAGGGATTGTGCGAACGACGAAATAAAATTTAATGGTTAAACATAACTATTGTATGTGCATTTGATGGGTGAATTTGTGAGAGCCGATAACATTGATAAATAAATTTCAGTCGAGAAAAGGTGACAAGCAAACCTACGCACTTACCATATACAATAGTATACAGAGTAATGCGATATGATATCTATTATTAATATGACCCAATTTATGAAAAATATACAAGTCAAATTAAATTTCGACTAGATTACAAGATTAACTCGGATTAAAGTCCTTTCTATCTGGGTACTGGATTTTGGATCATCTCGCCTCAATGATAGTTCCTATATCACGATGCTCTCCCTCTGCTGCTAACACTTGTTTGGACAATTTGTGTTGATAATGTGAGCACGTGGATAAAGACGCAACGTGAGTATAGCTGTGCGTTCTCCACAACGTGCCAAGATGAGCATGAAAATATTGGTCACAATGCATTGATCCTGTACGTACTGTACAGTACAGTACATATGTATCAAAATCCCGAGTGATTCCAATTCCTTTCTCCTAATGTGATCCTGCCCACACGCATTCTCACCTTCCTCCTACCGATTTCAGAAACTACTGAAATGCCTTCTTATCATCTCGATTTTATGCATCATTCTCCATTTCGACTATCCGAAATTATAACATTATACTGTCCACCCTTGTCAGACATCAGGTACCATCGAACGATTCCCTGTCATCTCCCATAGTCCAATTTCCCTTCCGTAATAATACAAGAAGTTATTTTTGCTATCAGTATTTCCACCTTCGACTGATTTCAATGCCACCGATCCCCTCTCATGATAATTGATCGTCCTCGGCAGATTTTATTATCCGAACGAACGGGTTCAATACCATTTGATAGAAGATTCAGGGTTAGACATTTCTTGAATTATCCTGACTACATACTGTATACGGTAAGTTAAAAATCAGTGACAAACTGTCGGCTTGTTTCAATAAATTTATTGATCGGGGTAATAACTCGGAGACCGTGCATCCATCATTTAATAAGTTTACGTAACTATCCGATATACAGTATTAAGGTTAGTTTCCTTTAATTTATCATCAAATCCTCATGAATGATGTCTCGTACAGGTAATACATAAGTGCGCTTGTAATTTTCTTGGCAAGAACCGATCGGCGTACTCGGTTGCAGTTATGTAGTTAGCCTCCTTCCTCATTAAACATAACTTATATGTCATTTTGATGCTCAATAAAATCTTAAAATCGACACCCCAAATGCAACTTTTGACTATATGGTGGCATTTGTTCATGTTAGCAAAAACAATAATTTGAGTATTACGACATGACATAAACAGAATACTCCATCCCATTAAGGAACGCCCGAAATGGTTATCCACTTCCCTTTTGATACTCCGAAAATCGTTTTATTGCATTATCTTCTTCAAAATTATTGTGCACAAATTTCCTCAAAGCCAATTCGTTTGTAGAATTTCTCGAGTCTCTCGATTGATTGCAATGAATACGCGCATGATTTGATGCCAGTAAACATGCCATACTCACACATTATAAAGAGTTGAGCGTTATACCGGGTTTAACAGAATCGACGCTCGAAAAATTACCGAGAGTCCTGTGAACCATTGGGTTGCGCAAAATTAGCCCGTATTGTGGAATTGGCCTGGTTGTATAAGGCTAAAATTGTGCATTGGTCAATGAACTAGCTTAGGTCGCGCGGATTTCTTGAAACGTCGTAAAATATTTCTTATTTACAAATATGCGAGTAATGAAAAAAATTCTCGATACAGTATACTGCAAAACTTTCTAAAAATCAAATTTAAGATCCGATCTTATATATAATCTTTGATTACAATATGATATAACTAATACTCGAAGTTTAATTGATAAAATTAATTTATGTTTTTAGTTTTTCACATATTAAAATTTAAAGATCTGTAAGATACAGTCTGATTATATTATTATATTCAAAGGTTCGAACCGTTACGATTTTATCATAAATCACATTGCAATTATCTTTTGATTGTTATTTCATTTTCTAAGAGTTCTTTGGTGGTTGATTTTTTTTTTTAATTTGATACCTTGACCTTTATTATTATTAATCCAATAATTCTATATTGAAAAAAAATTTTTTTTTTTTTTTACTATTTATGATTAATAAATATTTGGGAAAGGTTTGGGTTTTGCATTACGTGACACAATGTTTTTCTTCGAATGAAATCATTCACTGACGGTAAATGCATATACGTTGTGTTTCACCAATAATTATCACCAATAACAAACGTTCAAAGAAAAAAAACCTGTTACAAGATTAACTTTTTCTGACACCTTATATATTAGGTGTTGAAGTCGTGTATAAATTGATCAATATAGCAATACAAATGTAATTTTGCGGACTGTCGCAAAAAAAAATATTCTAGAGATGTCTCTGTATCCAAGAATAATACCAACCCTTCCACCCTCAATCGTATTAGCAACGTTTTTTGGTGCATTAACTTTTCTACACGTACAAAGGGCGAGGAAACTACGACGCACGATATACTTATACCTGAGCTTATTCGCCTTCCTCCGCACCTGCTTGTATATAGTGCGAGCTGTGTGGTCGCAAAATCCTTCTTCGACGGTCTTAAAAATTACCTGTGGAACCCTGTTGACCGGCGGCTTTTTCATTGTAATCGAGGCCCTCTACCTCTTACTGGCCGATTGGACGAAACTTTTGTTGAGAAGTGAAAAAAAACTCAGAACATACGAGCTGTATGCTCTAAATTTCGTTAAACTATCTACTCCTGTGTTTTCCATAATCGGTGCTATGGGCGAAGTGCTAATCTTGGATTCCTCGGCGAAGAATAATGTCAGTTTAGGAGAGTCCTTGAGGCAATTCTCTGTCATCGGCTTTTTGGTAGTCGTGGGACTACATTTCATTTTTGTCACATATTTTGTGAAAAATTATGGAAATGGTGTGTCTTTACAAAAGCATCTACGGGCGCTATTATTGTACATCTCGGCCGCTCTTATTCTAGTTGAGTTGGTCTTCAGGGCGATTGTTTTCTTCTCCAAAGTGAAGGACGTTATTAACAGCTCTGAATGGGTGTACTACATTTTCGAAGCAATACCCGAGTTGGTCTTTCTGGTCATATTTGGTGGTGTAATTTTGGGCGAATGGTTTTACGCAGTTGACGATGATGCAGAATCACAAGCTGTCAGCAATATGAAAAGTTGTCGAAAATGCGACGTGACCAAGTCCGAGATAATGATCACAAACAAGATGACGTGATCAAGTAAAGACTGGCGGTTACTTAAGTTGTAAGAGTTCTACGTCTTCTTTTGAATGCATAATTTTAGATTAATTCTTGTAAATATGATCATTCGACTTATAAAGAAGTTCAATACACCATTACGTAGATTAGGGTCTTCACGTGATTTCCATCCATGTAATATATATTAAAACCCGTGAATATTTCCCTGATGGCGTGGAAAATAGTAAGACAGTCCATCGAAATATTCAGAGATTTAAAGGGTTGATTAGTTTGGAGAAGGAGCAAGGTTGTTTCTGTACAACGATGCGCAAATGTGAATATTGTAAAGATCAAAGCGACTGTCGAATCTTATGTTTTAAGGAATAATTCGATGTGTATTCTTCTTTTTCCAATGACATCCAAAATCTTTTTTGACCATGAGTTATTGCTTCATATTAATTGTAATTTTAATATATTTAATAAATCATTCTTGTAAATTGTAGATAAACCGGATCGTTTTTAATATTCAATAGATTCTTTTCTTTTGTAAAAAAAATTGCAGATAAAATCGGCAATTTTAATGCGATGAATTTTTGAGCAACTTTAAAATCGTGGTTTGATCGATCGAGCAATCGACCTTTTTATTTATTTATTTATTTATTTCCATAGATTTGGGCATTCAAACATTGGCGGATGTACTTATTGAAACCATTATTCAATGCATTTGGTAAATTAATAACATAGGAATTTGTTAATTGATAATTTAGATTCAAATCATTTACACGGGATTTTGCTATACGATGTTTTTTTTTTTTTTTAAAAAAAAAAAATAAAGAAGTAGATGTTAAATTCATTCAACTTGACAATTAGACTGCTATGGGTTATTTTACCGACCACTTTACAAAACGACATCTGACAATTTTCACATGATGACAAACTCGTTATTAATATACCATCGACTTGTTATTAATATACTATCTTTAAATTCAATTTAAAAAAAAACAATATTTTATATATTTTGCTCGTATAATTTGCAAAATCAACCTTAATTATAAGAATTATGGGCAACAAATTATCAAGCTAATTATTTGTTAATCATTGAACTGCAAAATTAAATTATATAAGGAAAAAGGAAAAGAAAAGAAAAATCTAAAATACATACGTAGATAACAATAATAATAATAATAATTTTTAAAAAAATAAATATAATTAATCAAGTTTTTTTAAAAAAATTTTTATTATTGATTTATAAAAACCTTTTTTAAAAAATAAATCAATTTCATATAAGATTGTATTTTTTATTTTTTTTTTTTAAACCCTCTGTCAAGCTAGGTATGTATGCTTTATTAAATATATATATACTTTACACTAGAAAATATATTGCTAAAGTTAAGTCTCTACCTAACTTACTTATCTCTATTTTAAAGAATTATTAAAACTCTAAGTGCAACTTTGGAAGTGATTTATTGCTCTATTAGCAATTCAGGTAAAGATCCTTTCAACTGTTAATTTCATTGCCTGCAGATCACTACTGCAATCATCCTGCAAGGTTCTAACAAAGCTTAAAACTCAATCATTTTATTCCATACTTCACTCTTCTTTTTAAAATTTCTTAAAAACCTTTGTCTTCAAGATTTTTTATTTCAAATAATGAGTCTTTTTTCTTTAGGGACATAGTTTTTTGACCTGAAAGACATGAAGATCTTCCTGTCTTGTTCTCTCTATCAATTTTTTGTATTTCAATTATCTTTTCACATCTCTTATTCCAGACTTCTTTTCAAACTTAATTATAAACTCTTCTTTTCAAACTTAATTATAAACTCTTCTTTACATTTTTATTATCGATTTTCTTACTATTCTTCTTATGTGTTTACTTAACATTTAAATTTGCTATTTTTAGAATAATATCTGTTCTTATAAGACCAGTACAGAAACTTAACATATCTTGGCTAGTTTTAGAATCCTGTTCTATTACTTTAAAGATCCACTTGTTAAACTTTCCTATTTCTTCTCGATTATTAATGATCAACCTGAGATTTTTCTCTTTAGCCTTTCTCATTCTTTCCCATAGTAACTCTTTAAAGTTTTTAATAATTCTATTTACTCCTTTATTCTATGTTTCTTTTAGTTAATTCTTATAGGTTAAACATTCTAGCAAGTGTTCTATAGTTTCATCTTGTTGATTACATACAATATATCTCACTTAATTATATAAGTTCAGTCTTCTTATAGTTAACTTATTTAGAATAGGTAGCTCATCATTAACCAGTTTAATAAGAAAGCTTCTTTATTAGGATTGTTTAAAAGATGTATTCCACATGTATTCATCTTTAACTCTTTTCCATACTAAGTTTCATATATGAGTCTGGTGTTTTGAAATCTGTTGACTCCATTTGTTTTCCATTCTATTTTGTTATGTTCACTAATAAGCTATTGTCTTATTATTAATATTCTTAATAAACTACCTAATTGAATCATATAGAGTCATCTCTTACCACTTAATTTTAATAATAATTTTATATAAAGTATGATATTTCTATTCAATTGGTAAAAATTTTAGAGTTTCTTTAACTAAAATATCTGTTTCTTTATTATAAGGATCATTTGTATATGTTTTGACTTTTGTAAGCTTTAGATCTATATTTTTCTTCTTTATTAGTTCTATTATATATACCTAGAAAAACCAGTTTTTTTTTTTGGTCATCTATTATATATCCTTCTTGGATCTTCTTTTTCTAAAGATTTTCACTTGGAAATATATATCTAACTATCTATAAAAATTTTTATCATACTTTCAATTGAAACTACCAGGAGTATTATTATGATTGCTATCAATTTAGCTCTTGTAGATAAGGGTCACTTGTTTACTTCTATTTGGAACTTGCTTTTCTTTCTATCTTTTCCGATTTGAATTCAAGTTATTTTTATTTTCATTTTTTCTTTGTTATAATTAATAAGTAATTATCAGAATAGAAGATTGGCTTTTTTTTAGATTCAAGATTACATTGAAGTATAGCTATCAGATAATTTTGATATACTCCTTCTTTAATATTTTCTTTAATAATGGATTTTTCCCAAGTTTCAATGTCCACATGATTTGTTCTATCATTTTGGATCTTAAATGGGCTTTGATCTCTATAAATTACTTCTTTAATCCTTTTTTCAAGTGCTGACCTAGGGTTGGGAATTTTTAAATTCATGTTCTTTTGATGGACTTTCTCATTTTGAGATATAGTACTATATATATTTCTCCTATTTCTCTTTCTATAATATAGTTATCATTTAGTGTTATGTCTTCTGAATATTCTGAGCAATTTTGTATATTAGTCTCCTAATTATTATTGGTTTTGCAACTGACAAAGTACTTTACTATTATAACATTTTCTCTTTTTCTTGTCTTAATTTTTTCAAGTTATTTAATTTCTTTTGCTTCTCATCACTATCTACAATTTTTTCTACTTATCTCAATTAGATTCTATTTTGGAGTATTCTGGTTCTCATTTTATATAATTTTTTTTCCAGGATCTTATTAGCTGCTTTAGTTATTTTCTTGAGAAGTTTTTAATTATAATTTGAAACTATTTTGATATAAATCCTTTGCTTGTATTTTGCAGGAGCTGAAGCATTTGTCAGTCTCTTATTTTTTTAGTTTCCTGATCAATCAGCTGATCCAGATACATTAGTTGATTGTTTCTAAGTGATAGTATGGTATTTTTATATTCTTTTAGTACAAGATATTCTCTGATTCAAATATTTTCTTTTTTTCCTTTAAAGATATCCTGTCATTTCTAACTATAAAATGTTATTCTCATATCTTTAGCAATTCTGGTCATTTAGAGTGTGAAGTTGCTTTTGTCTATCAAGTGACTTAAAGATTTGCAAATTAATAAATTTAGTGGTTCTCAATTTTTTATCTGTGCTTGTTTGAGTCTAATAATTGTTGTAATTCTTGCTGGTCTAGGATTATTTAGTCTATTGCAAAGTCCTGTCACTTGACTTTCTCTTTGTAATATCTAGACACTTTTTAAATTATGGATCTTTGGATGGTGAATTATACTATTAGATATAGATCTGTATAAACCACTCTTATTATTAAAAAGTTTTCTATATACTATTGTTAAGGTGTTATATATTTTCTAGGACAATATATTATGTTGCATTCTAAATTCTATTCTAGGTATTAATACTCTATTCAAAATATAAAAAGTTTATTTGTCTATCACCTTTTTATATTTAAGGACTTTTGTGTCTATATTGACTTCTTTAAGCATTCATTCTTTAAGCTCTATTGCTGTTTTTTGATTGCCTGTTCAGATTCTAAGAATCTAGCCTATTATGTTCTATTGAGTTCTTTAAACACTTCTTTTTCAGTACCTGTTTTCACTTCTTCTGGATAGCAATTATGATTATTAATAGTAACCAAGACTGATTTGCTGCTATTTATTTGATAATCATTGACTTTATAGAAGATCCTTACAGTTTTAAAATCATTTTCATATCTTCCTTAGATCTTGATATTCACATTGTATCATTTATAAAGACTATAGCTATATGTCTTGATTCTAGCCTTCTTGTAGTCTGTTTTTTTAGATCAGAGTTTCATGTAACTGACATTTTATACCCTCTTTATATATTATTCTAGATTTTGCAAGGAGAGAGTTATAAAAAATTCTCCAAAGTAGAGATAAGATAGTTTTCCTTGATTGATTTTATCTCCAACTACTATTGATTCTATAAGATCATTTTCAAATATAACTCAAAATTCTCTATTTTTAAAGAGGCTCATTATAATCTTTATGAAATTTTTTGAAGCTTTTATTTTTTCTATTGCTTTTATCAGTATATCTAGATTAATTGTAACATATTATTTTGCAATATCTTAAAAAAATATCCATAGTTTCTTTTTGTTTTCTCTGATATCTTCACAAATGTTGTTAAAAATTTGAATTGGTTTTACTATACTTTCTTCTAACAGTCTTGCATAGTTCAATCCTTTGAGAATATTATTGATTTTACAATATTTTCCATTTTATTGGTA